AACTTTGCACATCTAGGGTATCCTTTTGTGGGGCATCGTGGGGAATCAGGCGCTCGTCAAAATAATGAAATCGAAAAAAAAGAACATTTTTCCACCAGCTGGGCAATTTTTATTGATTTAAATCTTAAAGGGGGGGGGGGGGAGACACAACAGGTTTAAAACTCATTCCTTCGTGGATTTTACCGGATAATGTTGATCAAATCATGCACAAGTAAAATATAAATTTTGCAGTTTCTAAAAACACTTCAGCTTTGGAAGTCACCAAACTTTGACGGCAATTTCATCTCTGGCTCTAATTAGGTCGCTTTTCAGGACAAGCGGGCTAACCCAGATTTCAGGGGTTTCCAGAAATCTTGACCTTCACCAAAAGTGGGCATTGTCCTACCTGTAGGAGAAGTTTGGGTTCATTGGTGTATATTATATTTGTTTGGGTATAGAGAAAACACTGCTTGTCTTTTAAAGAAACTGAACAAGGGGCCAAAACTTTACCTTCGATTTTCTAAAAACAGCATTTTTCGAGACAACCAACATGTGCTTAAAAGTGATCGATCCTTACCTCTGAAAACCAGGTGACCCTACCTCCTTAAATGGCAAATATGTCGACTTTTATTCAAGATATACGTGTTTTTTTCCATCTAAAGCAAGGCAAATACACAGGCTCTACGATTAGACTGCTAATTCTATATGCCCCCTAAAAATGGCGAATGCCTGTTTTCACCACAATGCCACACCACGCTATTTCTCAGAAGCTTGTCGGGGTTTAGAAACCAGTGGTCCGTCATCCGATTAGTGTGCACAATATGTATGATGCCGGCAGATTTTCTGTTTGGGTTCCCCTGTTCTGATTCAATTTTGACACGTTTGCGATTCGATTTTAGGAGGCCAGTCATGGCGGTATTGAATCAAAGCAAGCGTATTCTATTTCCGTCTCTCACGTTATGGTTCTTTTCTCCTGCTTAAAGTCACCTATCATAAGATGTTTAGGATACCACCGTCTGTCGTACTCGCGTTCTGGGGTAGTTTGTTTGCCTGTCACTTATGTCTAGGCACCTGAATAGATATTCCTTTTAAGAACAGAGTGCAAGTTAAACTGAAACACTTTGCCACCTGAATGTGAACCCATGATTGATTGACTGGTTAATTGATTGATTGATTGATTGATTGATTGATTGATTGATTGATTGATTGATTGATTGATTGATTGATAGAAAGTTCTATTGCCCCTACACGAGGAATTTCTGAATTTGGATCATAATTTGAGTCGGCTGCTTCCAGAAACAAAGTGACTCTCCATAACAAAGTGCACTCCTTCACGGGGGAATCGAGCCCTTTCCTTATCACACTACACTCTGGACTTTCCTCTATCAACAAGGCCTGCGAAGGTGGCTCAAACCGGCTTGTCAAGAAAGGGTTATTAAACCGTCCGAAAAACAAGTAAACGCAACAACGACAGCAACAACAACAAACCCCTACATTTTAAGTTAAAAGACTAGCAGTATTTTCCTTTAGAACCCTAACATTTTTATGTTGCTTCTTGCTTGACATTTCCCATGTATCTCTTGTAGCCATCTCTACGGTCTTGATATGCATTTCGTGCATCTGAAATCAGAGTACTTTGCGATTCCGTCCAACATGGACGAGCTGTTTCTAAATTCTTTTCTGCCAGCATCTATGGTTAAGCAGTTGGCGGGTGGTCTGGTGTGGTTTGCTTCTTCTTTCCTATGAAACATCTATCGTCCTTATTACCCCTTCTTCTTTTTTATGTTTGCTACTCTCTTGTAACACCTCTAGTTTTCTGGTGCTCATATGACCTTATTATGCAGTTGCGAGTGACGTAAAACCTCTACTACAACAAAACCAACAAACGTAGGAGACCGGAGTTCGAATCCAGAGTGGGTAAGATTTTTAAAAATCCAGTATCTCTGTATTTTACTGAGATATTGTATCTCTCTCACCCCGGCTTGGCCCTGGGAGGTGTGGTCAAAGTCTACTTCTTAGATGATCTAAATTGTTTAAGGACAAGCGGGCTAACTCGGATTTCGGGGGTTTCCAGAAATCTAGACCTACACCACAAGTGGCCATTGCCCTACCAATCGGAGAAGTTTGGTTTCAATGGTGTGTATATTTGTTTGGTTATAAAGAAAATACTCCTTGTCATTCAAAGAAACTGAACAAGGGACAAAAGCCTTACCTTCGATTTTCTCAGAACACCATTTTTGGGATGGCCCCCTTGTGCTTAAAAGCGACCAATTATGTTCCAGGAGTCATAACAACACCAACAATAAAACAATAAATAACAGATTCGGAATTCTTTTTTTGTTAGGAAATCTTAATAACAATATTGTATTCTTGTATCTGCAATTTTTAAAGTATTGAGATCATTTTTTGTTTTAACAGTTATACAAGTAGTGTACTCCATTTTTATGACTTAAATACAGAAGTTCATATTATTATCGTTTTGGTTCTTTTATATTTCTGCAAGGCACTTAAAACGTTATTTCATATATATAGAGGTCAACAGGTTAAAGTGTTCGCCTCTCATTCAATAGGTCACGGGTTCAAATCCAGACAGCGACGTAAAATGTTCTTCTCTAAAATTTTCAATCCTTTCCTTCTCTCTAGCAATGTTTTGTCGTCTGCTTTCGTCTCCTCTTTCTGCCCCCACCCCCTCACCTCCTTTTGCCCCCTCCTCTGGGCTTCTGACTCTTTCTGCAGCCTTTCTACTGCTACTCCTTGGCTCCTTCTTATTGCAGTCTTCTTGCCACAACCCCGGTTTTCTGGTAGGAAAGATCTACACCTAGCCTTCTCAGATAAGGCCGAAAAATCTCGGAGGTCCAGTGTGCAAGTTGCGCACGTTAAAGATCCCTTGGTGGTCCAAAATCGATTAAAGTAGGCTTCGACCTCCACCCGGGCAAAATTCTAAATTTCCTACTTACTAAAATTGTTTAATGTATCCCACGCGGCCATTTGACCTTATACAGTTGCGAGCGCTGTAAAACAACAACAACAAAAAACAAAAAAAAAAAAAGAAAAAAGCCCTAGGTGTTGATTGAACGTACTTTCCGTGTTTGTCATTTTTTTCCTCTGAGGTCAAGGTTACAGTGAGCTACAACTCGACATCCACATCTCCGAGATTGAAAGATGACGACACATTCTTTTTTGTTAACGGCCTTGCATCATTTTTTTGCACGTGAGAAACCAGTTGCACATTTCCTCGCTCACCCACACATGATTCATTATAGCTCTGTGCTCACCGCAGATTCCCCCAGGCCTTGAAATCCGAACACGTTCAATAGAAATGTAATTCATTTCATAACTTTTCACTCGATCGCCCCGCGAACTGGCAACGAAGTCCTCACATTCTGAACCATTTTCTTCCTCCGCTTCCCCCCC